GCCAAATCCTACTCTAAGGGAACAGAAAAGTAACAACATTCTCATGGTCAAAAAGTGGACATGAGCATTTATGCCATTCAGTTCCTGTAAGAGCCTGTTTGTATAAGGTAAGTTACTACTTTAGGAAAAAAACCCCAATATACAAAACCAAGCATGCCACACAAGAAGTATGCACTACTCTAGCTGTGCTATTTTCCTGTGTTAATATGCACAGATGTCAGCAAGCTTTCCTCCCAGTTTAACTAGTCCTTCTTTAAAAGTTGCTGCCTTTGTTCAGTACTGCATCATCTCAAAGATATGTATTGTTTCTTCTTCCTTTCTTAGCATAAGCAGTCAGAAATCGGATCAGACCAGTAAGTTTATAACTTACTGTTATTAAACTTTACCTGGGACAGTCAACCCACAGTCCTAGCCTACTTAGATGAAAATACTATTTTCTGACAAAATTATGCTTTCTGATAACCTACCAAGAGTAAGCAGCTCAGCAGGATTTAAGTTGCACAGGAGTACAACATTTTTCTATTCTACTTTATTTCATAGGGGATTAAAGTATCTAAGAGCACCCAACAAGGCACTGAAGCAAGCACAGCTATATTTGAGTCCTAGCTTTAAATCTGGTATTCCAAAAACATCACAGCACAGGTTAGCACCAGTACCAGGCTGCAGTCTCAGTTTGTGACTGCTTCCTCAGCTCTTCTTGAAGAAAAGTCAACATTATAAAAAGGCAGAACATAATTCAGCAAATCTAGCAGCTAGATATATGTCTGTACTGTGGCAGGTAGCTAGAACACGTGGAGCCAGAAAATACTGCACTCCTCAATGCTGGCACATGAGTAGGAATTAAAGTAATTCAGACATCTTGCTCACTGTTTGAATTCTAAATCAAATATGAAGAGTGTTTGCAGACTACCAATAGGTGCATTATTTCAACTAAAATCTATTAAAAACATATGCAAAATGCAAATATGTATATGCATGCTGACTAGCTTACAGACACCAGTAAGAAAATCAGTTCCTGGCACAACAAAGTTGTTATCAGAGAATCTACTGATCCTTGATACCGGTTAACCACGCTACCCCATAAGCGTATCAGCCTGTGGGAGATGCTTCTCTGTTTAATACAATCAGTGGCAGTGGCACTTGAATATGAAAGATATACTATCATAAACTGCAAAGCAAAACATTAGACAACAATATTAAAAATAGTATATCCTAGGGCAGACCTTTATTTAAATAATGTTAAATTATTTGTGAGAAAAATATATTATCCTACATTTTTACATTTGGAATTAGAAAGGAAATATAATCCTACCGACATGTCTTTAGTCTAAACCAGGCTTGTCAAACAAAATGTGGTAGCGCCGAGTGGGTTCTGGTACATTTGATAATGGAGAGAAAAGACACACTGCTTCCTAGAACAAGCTTTAAGGCTCAGTTTGAAGGGGAAAAGCTTGAGTAGCAAAGCACAGAGGCAGCTTGCCGACCTTTTAATTAGCAGAAAGTGATAACCTAAGAGTTCAGGTACAGCTCGAGATACAGGTGAAAGTCTGTGCTCAGTGTTGGACTTGAAATCACAGCTTCTCAGTACCTTATTTCCCTCTCTCAGAAAGTGAGAAATACTATTATCTTATTTCACAATAGTCCTGTAAGCATAAATTTGTTAGACATAGACGCTATGGTAGTTGGCCTACTTACTTGGAATACAATGAAATTGTATTTGTGTGAATATTCAAGTATGATTTATATCTAGAACAGTGAAAAAGCATGAAACCTAGAAACTCTCCCAGGCAGATCTCCAGTGCTCAGATACAATGAGTGGTCAGAGGAAGATTTCAGATAAGTTACATATGGAATGAAGATCAAGACCAGATGCAGCCAAAATGTAAACAGAGGAGCCATACAGTGATGTAGTCACTACAGTACAGACAGCATCATATAACTGGAAATACATGCAACAGTTCCAGTCGGCTGGGTTGCCAGCTCCCCTCGTAAGTCGTATTTGTAGAGACCTGCAGGCAAATGTATTAACTGAGCCTTGAGAAAAAAACATTCCAGGGTCTAAATATCCCAACAAACGTTAGGTCTATCCTAGTAATAAGGAAAACAGTCACAAACCCAGAGAAACAGAACTTCAGATTATAACAATGAATATCTAATTGCAATATTTGCACTGAATTAAAAACATAAGTCATAACATATCAACTTTCTCCATGTGGAGTCTCATTTAACATGCATCTAGCTAGTACATACATTACTGTTAATAAACCTTTTGTGCTTTTCTCTGTACCAGTATTGTAATGAGTGGAAACTATGTAGTTCAGAGCTGTACACATATGGAATTTTCCAGGTCACATGTTAAACCAAGTGCTAGACTCTGCTGGGCAGAGAACATTAGGAAGGAGAAAAACTGAATTCTAACCATATGTTTTGAAATGAAACAATATGCTCATTCTGTGACAACTGAAAACTTTAATACTACTTTACAGTTAGCAGCAATAAAGAGGGAAAGTAATCTTGAAACAGCATTTACTGTGGAATAGAAAATAATTACAGCATACGAGTAAGAATGCTCCATGTATGTATATATCACAACTCTGACACAATACAATACTGACTGAGTTACACCATTTCTATCATAATATATTATTACTGTGGTAATACAAGGATAAAGAAAAAAAGGCAAGAATTAAAATAAGTGGGATTCAGTTTTCATTTAAACTATTCCATGCCAAGAATTCTGTCTTTCAGAGGATCATGGAAAATAATGTGTCCTGTTACGAACTGAACTATAATCAGTGCAGAGAAGTGTCACTGTTGAGAGTTTAACATTTAATTGCAATTGTAGCATGGGTTATACACTCCTAGAGCCCACATAGAAAACTAGACCAGTTCCAAATGGAGGTTGGAACTCGATGATCTTTAATGGCCCTTCCAACCAAAACCACTCTATGATCTATGATTCTAGGATCCTAAAATACCTTGGAAGCACATACACAGCTTCATTGTATCATGACCCAGAATATACTGTACCCTTTGCTGCTGAGGGAGCAGGAAAGGTTCCACCATCCACAAGTCCCTGCAAAAAAACACTTTGGTTTTTGCTTATCTAATTACAGGAATTATCCTTAGCAAGGCAGAACTTGCCCAGGTTAGAAATTCTAATTTCAAGTGATTAAAAACTGCAGAAAAATTTGCACCTCAAATACAACTTTCTCTTCCCATTAGAAAAACTCTTCTCTTATTGGGGAGATCTTTAGGTTGCATTTCTGCTGGTGAAAAGAAAACAAGAATGACAGAAAGACTAAACCCTTTCCCATTGTCAGATTCTGTCCTTGGTGTGGTAGCTAGGATTACTTTTTGCAACTTAATATTTGCATTTTTCTGTAGCTACATTGCTTGTAGATTCCCCACATCTACTCCAGATTTTGCACTGGCTCCTTGTAACAGAATCCTAAAACCACTTTAGTTTAGACGTTTTTCATTAGATGACACTAATTTATGGGGTTATAATAAGCAGCAGTTGGAACGTCATTTTAAATTTAATGAAAGCAATTAAAAACAAAAGTCAGAATTTGTTTTCATAGAATAAAAACCAAAAGTGACTTAGCACAGGCCTAGGGTATGACAGCAACATTACAAATAACTAACTTTATTCTGGAGGTTGAAGATTTTTGTATCCCAATCAACATACAAATGTGTGTATTCCAGGGCCAGAAAGCTTGAGGTCTTCTATCTCTTCAGGCTCAACCTGATTTGAAGGCAGGGGCATGTGCTAGGATTTACCCTAGAACATAAGGCAAAATCTGGCTTCATTTTACTACTGTAGTTTTAGTACTTATACTCAATATTGCACAGGAAAAGCCATCACTGACAAGAACTTGACAGGACCCAATGAGTTGAAAAAGAACCCTTCTTATCCTTCTTTAAATGCCACACTGTATGCTAACGGAGAAAGACTTTACATTTGTTGAAAGTGCTGGGCATAGCCTGATGACAATAACTGCAAACATGCAGCTTCAAAGCAGTGTCCAGGCATTGCTTTTTCCAGTAGTAAGGACCTACGTGGTTTGGGGGAGAGACGTACAGAGTGAAGAAAGAGACATTTGTGGTCCGCAGCTACAAGCATAAGGCTCTGGCTGGAGATTGCAGTAACCTGCAGTTCAGTGTTTCAGGCACTGGCTGGCTTTTAGTAGTGGATCAGTTAGATTATGAGGTCTGGTTTGGGATGACATTTGGTTCCCCACTAGAAAAGCACTCGTACTACCACCTTCTGGCATTTTTGTTCAAGTGATCTTTGGCCTATAACAGCAGGAAAAAATAGCAATAAATGCAAAGGGAAAGAAAGAACTACCTAACCTCAGAGCTGAACAAATGGCCTCAAACAGGTAAATTAGGGATAGCTCGTGACTGTAGTAGCTTGTAGGGGGACAGAAGCAAAGCCTGCTTTGCATTCAAGCTATAAAGTTTTCAAGCTCAGAGTTCAAAACTATCTTCCAACATGGCCTCATTTACCAAGTATTACAGTCACCCTGAGCTTGTGAATAATGTGCAAACAGGCAGTAGCAAAACAGCAAAACTTCAGTATTCTTTTGGACACCAATATCCAGTGGGAACTCACTTTTCTCTCCGCTGTTCTAACGACTAGTTTTTGTGGGCACTGATCATTAAGGGGAGGGCGCTGGTGAAAAGTGGCAAGGCGACGACTGGAGGTCACTGAAGATGCCCACAAGACAAAATAAAAGGGGATGCGATGGCAGCGAACGGAAAGGACTGTCATGTCGGTCGTCTAAATCCTGCCTGAGGAGCGCCCTTGGCGAGGGATCGGCCGTCCCCCCAGCCATCGCCGGCGACCCGCGGCCCCATGTCCCGCTCAGCAGTGGCGGCCGGGCCGATACCGGCGGATGCGAGAACTTGTATAACAGGCTCGGGGAAGAACCCGCTTCTCGCCGCGCCCCCGATCCCTCCTCCCCTCGCCGGAGCCCGCCCGTCTCCGCTCCTCCTTTGCAGCCAATGGCACTAAGCGAGGTGGCTGCATGCGGTGGCGAGGACCCAGCGCCCGGGCTGCGAGAGGAGGAGGCGGCAGCCGGCTCTGCTCTCCGCGCGCTCCCGGCTCCCGCTCCGCGGCTGCGGGCACTCCTCCTGCCAGCGGCGGCCAGCCGCGCTCCGCCCGCCCCGAGCCGCCCCTCGGTGCTTGTGCCCCGCCGGTTCCGGCAGCATGGACTCGGACTCCGCGGAGCTCAGCGAAGGCGAGCTGGTCTCGCCCGCAGGTAAGAGGGGCGGCTGCTGCCTGGCCCCGCGAGCGACGGGTCAGGGGCAACTGCGGGAAGGAAGGGGTCCCAGCACACACCCCCCGCTGCCTCCGGGGCTGTGCGAGGCTCAGCGCCGAAGCGACAGCGCCGCTGTCCCGCGGTCCCTGCCGCCCCGTGCGAGCCCCGCTGCAGGACGGGCACTATCAGAGGCAGAAACCTCCCCTTGCCCGCCCGCCCCGCGGTGTTGCGAGCGGCGCCCGCTGCCGCACAGACAGACCGCGGGAGCGGGACGGGTGCGGCCCGGCGCCGGGCTCCGCTCTGCCGCGGGTAAGGGCGAGAGCCGCGCTGAAGAGTTGAACCGCGACGTGACAGCCGGCTGAATGAGCAGCGCTGGCGCGGAGCGGATGCATTGTGCTCTGTATCCACAGGCTGCGAAGTTTTCTGGGCTTGGTTAGGGCTATTTTGCTATCGCTCCAGGAGCACAGCAGTTAGCCCTTGTGCAGAAGGGGAGAGTCCCTCTCAGCCGGCCAGCATGCAAGGCCCTCGGGCCCCATCGCTTTTGTTTTCAAGCCCTAACTTGTTACCAAAACCCATAACGCTGTTTGTCTAGCTGCTGCAGCCGCATAGTTCTGAGATGAGACAGAAGAAGAAAAACATAAAACTCTCCTGCCATTTCCAAATCTCCACATTCCTGTACCCTGCACAAAACAAGCCACTGCTGGTGAGCCACAATTAAAGGCTGTCCTGCACAAACAGTAAGTGGGGACAATAAACTTGTGTGAAAGCCAGCATACCCGGAGGTAGGTTTGCTCTTGGGGCACAGCATGCATCCATGCATCCTGCTGCCGGTCAGTGGGGAACTGCTGTTGGCTCAAAGCCACCCCCTTCCTTATGCACATGAGGTCTGCAAGTCATCCTCGGTCAACAGTGGTGTTACCTGGCTTCAGCAGAGCAGGCTGAGGGTGCCAAACGCTGGCATGTGATGGATGCTGGGCTATTACTGACAGTGAGTGCAGAAGGAACCTGTCTGACCTCCAGCTTCCCATGGTGGAAGCCACAGGCACCTCTTCTCAGAAGCTGTTTAACTTGCATCAGACACAAGTAAGCACAGTTGGAATGTCTGAAACAATCCTAGTGATCATAAATCCCAACAGAAAGTTACCATGTTACATTATGAGGTCTTCAAGAAAGGTCTTTTTGCCAAACTCCATCCAGTTTGGGAATGTCCTTTATCCCAGCTGGCACCTCCTCCCATCCCCAGAAAGGTAGGTTTCAACACCAAACAATATTTTAACCAAAAGGAAAAAAACTGCCAGCTATTTTGTAAAATATATTGACTGTCCTATTAATACAGCAGTGATGAGCAATGATAGGATGAACATTACCCTTACCATAAGATCAATAGGTGTTATCTTGCTAGTCTCTCAGCAGAACAGGATTTTACAGCAGTCAAATCCAATTCAATTTTAACCTCTAAGGAGTCTATGAGGGGTTACCTTATTTTGCATTTTCCTACTTGTGATCTAGAAAAATAAGACTAGCAACAGGTCACAGAGCTCCTTATATCCATAAAGCTCCATTAGGCTGACGTTGGTAACAAAGACCACCAACAGCTATACTTTTTCATCCAAATATCCAAAGTAGTATGTGATGCACGAGTTACAAACATTACATTTATAGACAAATTAATGTACTAGCTCCTGCCAACAACTTAATCCTGTTCTGAATAGGATTTTCTTTTAAATAGATTAAAAATAACTATGCTTGGAGATTGCCATAAGTGCTTTTTATGTCATCACTTGCCAGCTGCCAAGAGTTGATGTTCATCAGTCTCCTCTCCTCTTTTCTGTTCCTGCTTTGTACTATCTAAGACAAGAAAAATCTGGAATTTTGACCATACATGGCAGATGCCTATGCAGTAGAATAGAGTGAAAATATGGTGGTTTTGTCTTAACCAGTTGCAATAATTCTTTCTGCACTAAAGAATTTCTTGCCATTTGTATCCTCCATCCTCTTCTGAAAAATACTTTTTTGCTAAATTTCATTTGGTCTTATTTCTGTGCTCCACCATATGTACAGTGCTGTATCTCCCTGTATGTGGGTGTTCAGTAGTCATGCTGTCAGTCACTGTTGAAGGCACAAAAGCTGAGGGGTTATGGTGTGGGAATCAGTCACCAACTTCAGGGAAGTGCTACACCACACAGATCCCAGTGACCAGGAGCATTCTGCCTGCAGCTTATAGGGCAAGCAAAGTGCATCAGAACAGTATTTGAGACAAAGTCCTAGTAGTGGTTCAGTTTTGGCCTTTGGTTAGCTGGGATTTCGTACTGAAAGCAATGCCAGTTTGAATGTTTAGCTTACTCTCTTAATTACTTTCAGCACTTTCAGGTTCATAAAGCAGTGACTTCAGCTTACACAGTTAAAACTCCTTGTAGCCATTGCCCACTTCTTGGGCTGTCTGACTGTTCAAGCCCAGTGTAATCCAGTTTAGTTTATCACTAGGGCTCCATGATGCTAATGCAATACAGATGTTTTAAAACATAACTTATTTAAGGGTTTGTACTACTTGTGCAGCACTTACCCACCCTTTTGCTGTCCCAATGGAACAGCACCCCTGCCATTCCTGGGACTCACATGGGTGTGCACAGAATAGGCTACCTTGTACGCCCCTACCATCTGCCACACATGCTTGGCTTCCAAAAGCCAGCTGGAGTCCTACTCGGAGATCCCAGCAGCCTCGTTTCCTTTAATAACCAACTTAAAGCTGAGTCTCCAAGGAGGCAGAACTATTTTTTCTGTGTTTATTCTGAACATGTTGTCATGATAGCATCTTCAGATTTCTTTGGTGCAAACAAAAAGCTCCTTGTACTTGAGTAGTGCAAGATGTGAGCTGTACTTTAAAACAAGCAGAAAGCATCACGCCTCTGTGCACAAGAGCATCCAGGCCCATGGCCTTGCCTTCCACAGTCGCACACCCATCTTTTACTGCTTTGCTTTTGAGTTGTCTATATAGTAAAAAAGTTTGGTTTTCGTCAGAAAAGTTACTCATGAGACAACCCCCCATTAAGGGCATTAAAGAGGTCTTCATGATGCTGAAAAAGATATATATTGCACTGCTAAATAAAAGAGTTGCATGCTTACTAGCACTACCCTCACTGAAATTCCTTGAGTTTTACTGCAGCTGGTCCTGTTTCTTTTCCTATAGATAAGCTTTCAAGAAGTGAACATTAATTTTAAAAATAGAACACTGTTCTCATTTTTTAATGTCCACCTATTGAGAGGTGGGTTTTTTTAAAGAACTCTTTGGTAGAGCACTGGACTACTTGTTCCCAGCCCTTTCACAGGCAGCTTAACACATGAAAGTATGAATCACCTGTACCAGCTTTCAGAGTAAGATTGCACAGAAATCCAGGTCATCACCAACAGCAGTGGTTCTTGCAGTGGGTTTGGAGATTCTGTATGTAGGAGAAAGAAGGCAGCAGATCTCCATTTGGTGTGGCTTGCCCTAAGTGCCCTGGCTGAAGCAAGCAGGAATTCAGCCATAGAGCTTTTAAGCAATATTGATTTAAGCCTTTCTACAAGCTCTTAAGTCAGAATATAATAGTTCCATTACAAAAACAAAAACAAAAACCATGAAATTCTATATTACACTATTAATATATGATAACTAGAGGCTAAATTGCCTGTATAGTCTTTGAAAAAAAGACAGATTGTTTATATGAACCTTAACATATCTTGGAGAGCTGGTGCCTTCTGGCTTTCATCCTGCTGAAGTCAACAGACATTTGGCCTAGGAAAGACTACAGCTTGCACTCTAAGTGGAGCTCTAAAGTGGTGACAAGAGTTTTGATTTTTGTATTTGAAGCATTAGCACTGTGGAGCATGCAACTTTGTCTGATGCAGGGGATAACAAAATGAAGACAACATTATCACAAGGCTTGAATCCCTAATGGCAGTGGGATCAAGAGGGCGAAGATCTTACCCTGGCACAAGAATATTAATACATTTCAGATTTTTAATAAATTATCTGAACTCTACCCTGGACAGGAGATATATTCCTGGTAAAAACAAGAATAGGCTTAACCATTATTTACTGTTGTAAAACAGCCCTGACAGACACAAATAATATTACAGCTACAGAAAAGTTATTTGATTTGTATTGGTTAGCAAATAACTTTCCTTCAAATCATTTATCATGCTACATGAACTGCCTGTACTTTTGTGATATTAATCTTTTAAGCCTGTTACATATTTTAATCCGTTTTACAAAGTTAAATGCCATTGAAAAGCTAATATATTCTTAGATAGATAATTAGAAAGTGTACCATAAGATATTTAGCACAATTATTTGAGGCATCAGCAATATACTTCCTTGACATAAAATGCAAGTAGGCATTTTATAACTCTTTTTTGCAGTATTACACTGGTCATTTGAATAACATTTGTCATGACAAAAAGGTGTATTTTGCCCCAGAGTGTTTGAACAAGGAGGGTTTTGATTTAACAAAGCTGTATTTTGATTCTACATAGAAAGTTCCAACTCAGATAAGCAATACTATTTATCAGACTTTAGACAAGCCAGCAGAAATGGTAGATAACAGCATGTTGTAAGTATGGAAACTAGAAAATAAACAAACCACAAACCAATAAAACCTGTTTGGAGTGGAAGGTGCAGACTCTACTGGATGATTCTGTTATGAAGTGTTTTCTAGCACCTATCTAATAAAGGGCTCTCCTTTCCCTTCTGCTGGAAAACAAAGGAAAAACAAAGCTAGTTGAAAAAAGATGGACAGATGACAGACATGAACTAGCACATCATGGGAAACCATGCTCCAAACTCTCTTACAAGGCTTTTTGGCTCACACTGCAAACTGAAGCAAGCATGTGTCCAAGTTTCTCTGCCAAGAGCACGGGCAAGAGACACTTTAGGATGAGCAAGCAGCAACTGCCTGCGAGAGTAGCAGCTAGGGCAAGCACATGAGCCAAGAGCCTGGTTGGGTGAATTTCCTTTGGATCTC